TCCTCCTCCTCCTCTCTCTCTCTCTCTCTGGAGTTGTCTTCTTTGAGGGGGACCACGGGGCACTGGAAATGGCACCAGCCTGGGCACAGGACACCTGCGTCCCGTCCTAAAGCTGCCTATTCCTGGCACTGGGACTCGGTGCCAGCCCTTTAACACCCAGGGCTCCAGATGTGAAATCAGGTCTTATAACATCAGCCATGCCTCTCTCCCGGTGGAGGTGAAAACCCAGTGAGGTAACAGGTGTGAAAGTGCTTTGTTGAAAGGTAAAGAGCGGAACAGATGGTTGGGTTATTCTGATTATTCTAATAACACAAGGGATTAGTAAACAAATTTAACGGATTAATGTTCATCCAACTCTACTTGTACCGACAGCTTCCCCACGTAGCTGACACACTTGTGACCTGATCCTCTTGAAGCCACTCTACACTCTACCCATCATGCTCTCCCCCCCCCCCGCCACCCCCGCCCTGCACTGACCCCTCTTCTTCCATTTGTCTCTGGCAAAGCCTGGCTCCCCTCTGAGGCCCCAGCAGCTCACTCCTCCCAGGGTGACCCTCCCTCTTTCTTTCCTCCTTGCAGATTCCCCACCCCATCCTCCTAGTCTAAACTTGTCTTTAGCATGTACTGCCTGGGGGAGAGAGGGCTGGTCCGGGAGCCAAGAGAAGTTAGTGTTGTAGGGTGACCAACCATCTTGGTTTGCCCAAGATTTACGAGGCCCCCCAAGAAGTGGGAATGTCAGTGCTTAAACTGGGAACGTTCTGGGTAAGCTGGATAAGTTGGTCACCCTAGTCTTGACAAAACCACACTTGCTGATATGCCATCATCTTGCCAGGAAACCCGGGAACAAATCACTTAACTCCTTTAGGGTTCAGTTTTCTCATCTGTAGAAGGAGGGGCTTGGAGTTTCACTAGATCTTGTTTTAGTTTCTTCCAACTCTCAAGTTTTGAGCCTGGAGGTCCTTTACTCATTGCACAGATATTTACTGAATGCTACCATGTGCCACACACCCTGCTCTTCCTGTTAACTGTGGCATCCTGGGCACACAGCACATCACACATAGTAGGTGCTCAATAAAGACCTGTGGGAATGAATGAACTGACCACACCCCCATTCCTGCTTTGCCAATCTATCCAAAACTTCTGCTCACATATCTGACCCCCCAACTCCCCCATTTCTGCTTTCCCAGTCTATCACCCACAAGCCTCTGGGACCTGTGACTACGCCCAGAACCCTGGCCAGACTGAGTTGAGCTGAACACTCCAATGAGGGCGAGGACAGTCTGGTGACTGCTCCTGCTGGCAGTGGAAGTTTACCTTGGGTACCGCCACCCAGGAGATGTCACCAACATGAGTTTATCTCCCTGGTGGATCCTGGAGCCCATCACAGTCACCCTTGGAGCTCATCTGAGCAAAGAGCCAACACACAGGATTGCTCCAGGTGAATGTCTGCCCCTGGTCACCTTCTGTCCCCTGGGCATCTGCTTCCAGCCACCCACTCCTTCCCCACCTGGCTGTTGGGGCTCTGCAACCAGACCATCCAGTTCCCAATCTGGCCCGACCACTTCCTTGAATGCTGGATGACCTTGGACAAGTTATTTAACATCTCTGAGCTTCAGGTTCCTTAATTTGATAACAATAGAACCTCTTTTACAGAGTTATGGTGAGGATGAAGTGTACCCGGAGAGCTCTCAGAGGAGAGGGGAGCGAGTGCCCAATAAACTCGAGCTGTTACTGTTTTCAGAATCGCAATCATGGTCATCAACACTCCCGGTTTGGTGGGAACAGTCAAGAACCAGCTCCACCTCAGTGCATGCCTCTCACAGGCGCTCAGAATCTCCTCTGCTCCAAGAAGCCTTCCCAGATCACCCTAGGAGAGCAACCACTAACGGAGTCCACGTAGCCGGGACCTTCACTCTCCCACCCCCATAAGCAGCCCTGGTTCTCCCCAGAAGTGAGGGGCACCTCGTCCCAGCTCTGTCTAAAGCTTCAGTCCTGCTGTTCCAACCTTCCTTCCCCCTCTGCCCAGATTAGCTGGTCTGTCTTGGAGACCAGAGAGAATTCCTTGGCCGTAGCACCGAGCCCTGCTCTGCCCCAGATACTTCACGCAGGTTCAGGGCGGACCATGAGAATGGCAGAGACGGTGGAGGGCCTGGGGAGATGATCAAAGGCGGGGCCCTAGGGAGCCACACTTACCAATGTAAACACGCCTGCTCCCAGCACGGCATACACTGCGTGGAGCCAGGGCACCTATGGGGCGGACGAACAGTGGGCTTAGGGATGGCAGATGGGGCGGTGGGGCAAAGGGGCAGGGAGGAGGGCTCAGTCCAGAGAATGGAGGATGTGGGACAGACCTTCCTAGTGGGACCCTCCCTCACTGCCCCCAACCCTCCCCAGATGTTCCTAAGAAATGCCAGGTCCCCCACAGGGATCCTCGATTCTCTGTGTGTCCAGGGTGGGTGGGGGAACCCCAGGCTAACAGTGACCCTGGAGGGCCCGGCAGGGAGGCCCAACCTGACCTGCTCCTGTTCCCTCCACACAGCCCCAGGCTCAGGCAGCACCGAGTGGCTTCCCGCTGGCCTGTCACTCTCCCAGCCTGGAGCTGCCCTGGGCTGCTCCTCCCTCCCTGCCCTGCGCAGAGTCCTCTGTTTCTCTGTCTCTCTGTGGGGAGTTCCCAGGCTCTGCCTGTGCTGGTAAGGGGCTGGGGCGGAAGGGGACAAAGACTTGAACTCAGGGGTGAGGTGGGGTCCGTGTGGAATTCCTGCCGGCTGTGCGCGAGGAGGTTGCCTGCAGAGGCTGGAACAGCACTCCTTCCCAGTCTCAGCCCCTGAGGTCGCAGGGGCGCCCTGTGGAAACCCTGTGAGAGGTACCACATCAGCTGTGCCCCCTACAGGGCCATCCCCCAGAAGATTCCTGGAAACACAGGCATCCCAGCAGCCTGACAGGGTCAATAAAGGGTTCTTTGAAGCTCTGGGGCCCCTCCCTGTACCCCCAATCCTAGATACACAGAGGGCCCCAGGCCAGCTCCGGCCCCTCCCTTCGCCAACCGGATCCTGGGAAGAGCCAAGGAAATGCTAGAACCGATCCAGCTGTCCTGTGAGCAAAGCGCTGGGGGCTGGGGAAATGGGGGTGAGGAATGCTGCTCCCAACCTGGCAGAAAAGGGTGGGGCTGACCAAGTACCGAGAGGAGCAGGGTGGGCAGAAGACTGAGCCTCCGGTGGGGGTCCAATAATGTAGCTTCATCTCTTGGGTCCCCAGGATCAGAACCTCAGACCCCTCCTGTGATGCCCTCAACCTGCCCTCTTTCCCACCAGCAGAGGCCTTGGTTCCCCAATGGGTCACAGAGCCCTGGAAGTCCTAGTGGGATTCCCCCGAGCAGGCTGGCTGTGCAGGAGCTGAGACTTGGCCGCCCCATGGATGTTCCAATGGGGTGGGGACTGCTGCTTGCCTGACCCCCACCTGCCTGGCTGCCCAGAGTCCGTCCCTCTGGACTTGGCTGATCTTCCAAGAGTCCCAGGAGGCCCTTCCTCAGGACCCCTCAGGGTCTGGCGGCCCCACGGAGCTCCAGAGCGCCCTTCCCTGCCAAGGGTTAAATGCTCCGTGGCACACTCCCCTCCAGCCTCCCCTCCCCACCCCCTACCCCCAGAGGGGAGGATGGGAAAGGTGAAGCCGGATGTGGCTCATGGAGCAGGCAGGTGCCCAGGCCTGCTGAGAAAGGCCTCCTTGTTGGTTTGCTTACACTGCCAACAAGCCCAGGGCAGGTGCCAGGAGGGCCGGGTAGGGTGGCAGGCTGTGAGCCTTTGGCTCTGGGCCTTCTCTGGAAGGTGTGGGAGGAAGCAGCACCCTCTGGCCGGCAGGCTCCCTCCCTCCCTATGGGGCCCGCCGGGAGCCCCCTGACTCACATATTGAAAGGGCAGGAGGATGGCCAGGATGAGTCCACTGAAGAAGAGAGTCATGAGCAGCACGAAGAGCACACCCTGGCAGGAGGTGAAGTCAAACTGCAAGGGTGGGAGAGGTCAGCTGCTGGCCGAGGCCCGTCCAACAGGCCACCGCCTCGTGCTCATGCAGAACCAGCATTCCTTCCCCATCACCTCTCCCAGGTGGCCTCCCCAGGCCCCACTCACCCCCTTCATCTCTCACCAGATGGGGACTGAGCCTGGGGCCCCCCACCCCATCTGCCTGCCCACAGGCCCCGGAGCTGACCTTGGTCTGGAAGCTGAAGATGGTGACGGAGAGGCAGACGAGGGCTGTGATGCTCAGGCACAGCAGCACCGAGGTGGTGTTGTAGTAACTGCAGGGCACAGGCCAGGGCTCAGCAGGTCTTCGTCTCCCCTGGCCTTCCGCCCAGGCCCACTCTCCTCTGCAGACCTGACCCCGTGAGCTCTTGCCCCCACCCTCTCTCCTTTCCAAGGGCTTTCCTTCTCCCTGCTTCCTGGCCTTTCCCCTGGGCCCTGACCTCCCCCAACATGTTAGGAGGATCTGGGAGAGGTGGGAACGGGGGTGGGAGGGGTTGTGCTATTGCCTGTAGGTGGGAACCTCCGTAATCTCAAGTTTGGGGTCTTTTAAGCTGCAGCCTGACAGGGGTCACCTTGGTCTCCTCTATCCCCACCCCACCAGCCTAACCAGGTCCCAGGGGCACCATCCAGCAGGGTGTCCAGGGAGAGGGCTCTAGGCCAACGTGTCCTGCCAAGATCCTTCCCCTGCCAAATGCTCCAGGAGGATGGAGTTGGGGGCATTTCCACCCACAGTGTGGCGAGTCCCTGGCTCTAAGCCTGGCCTATGGCCCCTACGGCCCCCTCCCTTCCACCTGTGCCCTTTACCTGGACAGCATCCCAGTGAGGTAGGCCATGGACAGGGTCTGAAAGGGAAAGCAGAAACATTCCACGACTCAGACTTTGGGGCCCAGACACCTTCCAGGTCCAGCCTGGGTCTCCACCCCTTGCACATACCCCTCAACTCTGAGTCGGCTTCATTCACACACGGTACCTCTAGGAGTCGGGCCTGGCGACACAGCATCCCAACAGGCCTCATGCCAGCTGTACCTTTCTTTCATTTGCAGCCCTGCTCTGCCCCTCTTTCTAAGACCTCCCACTCTTCATTATCCAGAGCCCGTGGAAGGCCCATGCTAACCTCTTAAAAACAAAATGGCAATGAGAAGAGACAGTGGATGGTGTGGGAGGGGAGGGAGAGACTAAGCCCATTTGGAAAGAGGGTGGAAGAAGTGGGGCCTGTCCAGTGTGGCTCAGTGGTTGAGTGTTGACCTATGAACCAGGAGGTCACAGTTCAGTTCCCAGTCATGGCAGGAGGCAGCCGATCAATGATTCTCTCTTATCATTGATGCTTTGAATTTTCTCTCCCTCTCCCTTCCTCTCTGAAATAAATAAAAATATATTTTAAGAAAAGAAGTGGGGTGAAAATACCCCTCCCCCCAGTGATCTCACATTAGACACCCCCAATCTAGACATCCTGGCCTTGAAGCCCACCTCCCTCCACCCCCACTCAGCATCTGCCCTTAGCGCCCCCAGATCACTTACAAAGATGGTCAGAAGAATCATGTTCCAGGGGAAATATCTCCTGTAAGGCAAGCCACTGAATTCAGAGGAATGGGGGGGGGGGTGCCAGCAGCTGCAGGCTGGGTCACCCCTGCAGGGAGGGGGGTCTCTGCCCAGCCCCATCTCCACTTTTTGGAGGCTCTTTCTTTAGCCACATTTCCATGCGCCATCTGTCTGTCCACCCTCCTCCTACCTCAGAGGTATTAAGTAAAGGAAGGAGGTGCAGGCCTACATGAAGGAGCCCAGAGAGGGATGGGGCCTTCTTAGGGGTGCACAGCACCCTGGTGGCAGGCAGGCCTGGGGTCATAATGTCCAAGATCCTGCTCATGTTCCCACAAGTTGCTCTTCAAGCCATCAGCATACCTCGGTCCAGAACAACAGGCCAGGGTCAGGTAGGTCACAAAGAATACAACACTGTGAGAGACAGATGAAGGGTGAGTTAGCGGCCCTCCCCACCCCCCAGGCCTCTCCATTCAGTCCCTGGCTCATCCCACTCTGTACCCCCACAAGGCACCAGGCAGGGTGACAGGGGCTGGGGTAAGGCTACAGTCATCCTAGAACTTAGCAATGGGCAGAATGGTGGTTTAACTCTAAAAGAGAGGCAGGGGAATCGAATGAGCCTGCCTCTATAAATACTTGGGTGCCATGGGACAGCTGATCACCCCCCAATCAATCCACTAGCTTATTACTTCAAAGAAAAAGCTCATATACACGGTTTTCTATGTGCCAGGCAGAGTGCTATGTGCTTTATGAAAATTAAGTAATCTCACATCTTCTCTATGAAGCATGCTTTTTTTTGGTTAATCCTCAGGCAAGGATTTTTCCCATTGATTTTCAGAGAGAGGGGAAGGAAAAGGGAAGGGGGAAAGAGAAAGGGAGGAGAGAGAGAGAGAAACATTGACGTGAGAGAGACACATGGACTGGTTGCCTCCTGCACGTACCCGACTGAGCCGAGGATTGAACCTGCAACCCAAGTATGTGCCCTTAACTGGGAATTGAACCCTCGACCCTTCAGTGCACGGGCTGATGCTCTGACCACTGAGCCAGGCAGGCCAGGGCAGCATGCTTTTCATTTAGCAGCTGAGGCACAGTGAGGTCAAGTGACTTGTCCAAGGTCATGCAGCTACCACCTGGCAAAGGCAGGATTAGAACCCAGGCCCTCTGACTCCAGAGTCCCAGCTCCATGCTGCCTCCTTCAGGCCTTTCCCAGTCCTGGCACTACCCATAATGACCTTGTTAGGTACTTAATTGTTGGTCTACCCTACCAGCAGGGGCAGGGCCCTTGTCTGTCCTGCCAGTGCCTGGCACAAGCAGGAGGTACCTGTGGCATGGATTTCTGGAGCAGGTGGCTATGTCCAGTGGGAGACTGGCAGGAGCTCAGGCACAACCCAGAGATAGGGATTGGGGACTGAGGATTTCCTGGAGAGCAGTGGAAGTGGAGGCCAGTCCAGGAGGTAGGAGAAGAGGGCGGAGGACCCAAGGGTAGGGCATGCTCACACCAACCGAGATTGGTGCCCCCACCAATGTGTGGTCTCCAGCACCCAGAGAGCTCTCAACAAGGCTCCTGCCACCCTTCCCATCTCCCTCCTGGGTTCTCTCACTCATCCCCACCACAGCAATTCCAACCATTCTCCCCATCCCCAAACCTCTCAGGCCCCCTACTCTTTGCGTGGTCTGGCCTGGTATGTCCCGGGAAGATTTAAGATGAGGTGGGGCTCCCTTAGCTCCCTGCCTGCCACCCGCAACCATCACGTCCTGCGTCTATGTGCCCTCCCTCCTGACCCTCCTCCCACCCCAGGCCAATCCCTCTGGCCTGGGCTCTGGGTCCCACACCCTCAACTGCCCTGCCATCTCTATTACTTAAACCTTTCTGCAGCGACCTCTCTGCCCACACAAACCTCCTCAGCTGTTTGTTTTCCATCTTTAATCAACACCTTCCCTAGTTTTAGCTGCTGCCACCTTAGCCAACTCACAGCCAAGCTTCTTGAAAAAGTTACGTCTACTCACTGTCTTCTTCTCCATCTCCCAATTACTCCCCAGCCCAGAAACCCACCCCCAGCTTCACTCGATGACAGCTGGCTTTGCCACAATACTATGACTTTGTTGAGTCCAACTGACACTCGTCAGTCTACCTCTTCCCTGACTTCTCCACAGCATCTGCTCTCTTCGTCATTTCCTTGGTTCCACAGTGATCCACACTGGTTCCCTTCCTACCTCCCTGGCCGCTCCTCAGTCTCCTTCAGACTATCTCTAACCATGGCTCCCTCCTTCCACGCATAGGGTCCCTTCACGCTCTTCCCGGGTGGGCTCACTCCTCCACAGGACTTCCTTTATTAGGCAAATGCTCATGACTCACAGGCCTATATTTCTGATCTAGATTTTCCTTCTCAACCTAAGACCTGAATACCCAGCTGCTTACTGGGCAGACATGGCTACCCAGACACGTGCCAAACGCAACAGGTCAGACCCGAATGTGCTCTCTTCCCTGCTCTTCTCCTGCATCCCTGGTGCAGAAGACATGCGCCCTCCACGTTTCCCAACCAGAGGCCTCAGCATCATCCCTGACTCTCACTGCATTGCCTGGACCTGTTGATCCTCCTACCCAGGCAGCTCTCAAATCTGTCCCCTTCTCTCCATTCCCACCACCATTCCCTTTGGTGGGCCCCTCTCTGCCTCTGGTCCTCCTGCCTCCAGCCCTGCCTTCTACCCTCCAAGCTACTGGCTGATCCAATCATGGGACTTCCCTGTTTAAAATTCCCAAAGACCTGGCAGTGCCCTGCCTGATCCACTCTGCCTACCTCTCCAGCCCACCCTTCAGCATGCTCCAGCCCCGCCTTTCCCCTCTCACCCCCCTCTGCACCTCACACTGTGCTCCTGCTGGAAAGGACCAACTGGCAAGGACACTGGAGGTCTGGGTTGGAGGGGCTTCCTGTCTGCCATGCGCATACCTCACCCAAAGCCCGCACCCCCACATCCCACGGGCCTGCTCATCTGACCCCAGGTGTACCATCTGGGGGCCAGTCTGTGACCTAGTCATTTTGTATTCCTACCTTCTAACCCAGGGCCTGGCACTGGTCAGGTGATCTTTAAGGATTTGTGGGTGAACGGCAGGACAGGGAAGGCAGGGTTGAGACACGCCTACTGGATTTGGTGAGCACATCCTGCTCCATGAAGGGCAGTTGAATCTCCTGCCCCAGTTGAGAAACACGCCGGCGTCGGCTCTCTTTGGGACTCCCTTCAGTCATTAGTCAGTTGCTTCAGCAACACACGTAGTAATGCCTTGTCTACGTGCATCCTGGGTGTGGGTCCTGTCCCCTGGCCAGAGTGGAAGCCTCCTGAGGGCAGGGGCCCAGTCTCCTTTTCGCTCTGGTTCACAGCTCCTCAGCCCTTCAGACCAGCGGTCAGGAAGAAGGGGAGAGGGTGCAGCCCTGGAGCCTGATACTTGCATTCACATCTAGCTCTGCCACTATGATCATGTGACCTTGAACTAGTGAACTGCAGAGCCCCCGTTTTGTCCTTTGGAAACAGGAATATTGGTACCAACTCACTGGGCTGCGAGGATTGAATGAGAGGATGCACATCAAGCATTTAGCACTGGGCCTGGCACGAGGAAGGATTTGAGGATTGGAGCTGTTATTATGGTAATGTGGTTGTCAGCTCCCAAGCTCTGGTCTCTGCCTTTTCCTCCTCTGCCTGGCTCCCCTATCCCCACCCACACCTCTTATTCCCACTGCCATGGCTCAGAGGGAGCAATCAGACAATAAGGCAAGAGCTCACTGAGGGAGATCCCCAGGGCCTCAAGAAAGCTGTAAGGGGGGGGCAGCGAGGGGTGCTAGAAGGCTGCCCTCCCAGGGGGCGGAAAATGAGTCATGGAAGTGAGAGAAAGACTGATTGTGTGTCAGAGCCTGGGCCCCAGGGCCTGGCCTGGCGCCATGGTCTGTTTACAGAGCGTCAGGACAGAGGAGTGCAGCTCAGGTGGAGGCCAGCGTCCAACACCAGTGTCCTCCCCTCCCCTGTCCTGAGCCACGAGCGGGGGAGGGAGGGGTGTCAGCAGAGTGGGAAGTGCAGGAGCTTTGCAATAAAAAAAATGTGGCTTCAGAAGCAATAACTTCTCTCCAAGCCTCGATTTCCTCCTCTGTAAAATGCGGATAACGATATTGTCTGCCTTGGTAGGGTTGGTGTAAGAGTCAAATGAAAATATCTGTAAAGTACTTAGCACAGCGCCACACATTAAAAGAGAGAGAGAGAGAGAGAGAGAGAGAGAGAGAGAGAGAGAGAGAGCTGTTTTATTTTTATTGCTATTAAGGGCTTAGTATGTTGCAGGAGGTGAGATTCCTAGGTCTCAGACCAGGAGGCAGATGCAGGGGCAGGTGAACGGTGTTGGAGGGTGAGGAGGGGCAGGGCAGGCTGCTGCTCCGCAGAGAAGGGCACAGCATGTGGTGGGATGCTCAAGTATCTCGAAGGCACTGTGACACCCCCTGAGAAGCACAGGGCCCATGCCCGCTTCCCATTTCTCCCCGCCCCGCCCCCCCTGAGCCAGGGAGAGCCTCTCTGTTTTCTGCCTTGAGCTGCTGAGGAGGCCTGGATAAGCTCATCATCCAGAGGCCAGGCACGCGTGCCCACTCTCAGTGGGCGGGCTCTGCCTCCACTTCTGAGCCTGCTCGGGTCCGGGCTGTCCCCCTGCCACCATCCGCTCAGGGCACAGTGTCCTGCAGACCCTCCGGTAGAAGGCCCGGCGAAGGGCCTGGGGACTCCATTCCCGAGCTCTCAGGACACCCGAGGCTGCCTGGCGGTGCTGACGTGCTGGGAGCCATGCCAACCTGCTGCATGAGCCGGCCGGTGGCAGTCCCTGGGGCCTCATTAGCTTCACCACACGGTGCCTCCCAGTTCCCCGAGACGCGTGCCTCCTGCCCCGTCTGCAGACAGGCCCTCTCTCCTGTGCCCCAAGAAAGGCTCTGGGTGTGAACGTCTCCTCCCCTGGGACCCCCAACTTGACGGAGACATCCCTTCACTCCTCCGCTCCTCTGAGGAGCCCCAGAGGCCGGAAGGAGCCCCCTCCTATCAGCCTTTGGGGGGCTTGCATACACTCTGGGTCCACTCTGGGGCTGTTCTTGGCTTGGTTGGTCCAGCAGGCTCAGCTGAGCCCACGTCCCCACCTGATCCCTTTCCAGAAACGGGCCTGGGGCGGCCCGCGTGTGTAAGCTGCTTGGCCGGGCATTTGGCGCCTCTACCCCGCAAGTCCGCACCGTCTCTGAGATATCCTGGGTTCCTCTACCTGCAGCCTCTGGCCCTCTGACCATCTAGTTTCTAATTTACCAAATGGATCAACGCAGTCCCACTGCCGTGCTGCTGCTGAAGCCACTCCAGTCTCCACTCTTGGAGGTGCAGCCCCACTGTGGACTGAGGTTTAGTGTTCCAGGCTCACACCTCCCCTCGGCCCTCCTCTGACAGCCAGGTTTCCACATGCTGCCTTGTGCTGCCCACTACCTTCCCCAGCAGCCCCAGAACAGAGCTGGGCTCCCAGCAGGTGCTGAAGGAAACTCTGGTGAGAGAATTGTGTAGGATGACTCCTTCATGGCCCAGGTAGGAGGGTCAGAATCACCCACACCATCAAACCTCTCCGCTCACGTTACCTGCCACACTCCTTAAAGAGGACAGCCGGGAGCTGAGTGGCTCGAGAGGAAGGGAGTCTGCCAAGCAGAGGGATTAAGAGCACAAGCCTCAACCTGAATTTTGGGTTTGAATCCCAGCTCAGCCACGAATTAGCTGTGTGACCTTGGTCACATTACTCAACCTCTCTGAGCCTTAGTTTTCTGAGGTAATCATACCCTGTAGATTTGAGGAATGAATTCAATACCATACAGCAAGCACACAGAACAATGCTCATCCCTTATTAGGCACCCTATAATTAACAATTCAATTAGTTAGCATTAATAACATTAATAAGAGGAGCAACATTATTATTAGTGTGAGCAAAGGTGTCCTCCTCCTCCTTCTCTGCAGAGCCCAGGTCTGAGTCTCTCCAGCATGGCCCCAGCCCCACCCCCCCTCCTTGTGCGGGCATCAGACCTATGCCCACCTCCTCCCCTTCTCCTAAGACAGTGATGGCGAACCTGTGACACGCGAACTCATTTTTTTGGTTGATTTTTCTTTGTCAAATGGCATTTAAATATATAAAATAAATATGAAAAATATAAGTCTTTGTTTTACTATGGTTGCAAATATAAAAAAATTTCTATATGTGACACGGCACCAGAGTTAAGTTAGGGTTTTTCAAAATGCTGACACGCCGAGCTCAAAGGTTCGCCATCACTGTCCTAAGACCTAAACACCTCAGAAGGGCCCTTCTGGCCTCACACTTGTGGGAACACATCCTATGGGGTGGGACGAGGCCATGGGCTTATGTTCTGCCAACAGAGATTTCCCTCTCTGTGCCACTGAGGGTTCTCTGGGAAGGGGCCTGGGGACCGGGGGTCTGGGATATACTCACTAGGAGGCCCAGTACCAGCCTGGGTTAGCCTGGATATAGTCCTTAACGGGGTCGCTGCAGAGGGAGGGAGGGAAAAAGAACAAACATTTACCCTCTGTCTCTATTTCTGATCCAACATCTGCACTTGCCCCCACCCCCACCCCAGTTCACAGGACTTGAGAGAAAGAAAGGAGGCATGCACCCCTGGTGGCTCAGGAAGCCCAGCCACAGCCGCAGGCTGGGACTCAGAAGTGCTGGGTGTGGGCTAGAGGACCTGAGAGAGGCCTAGAAAGCCCCAGGTCCCCCCCACCCTGAATGGAGGACTCCTGCGTGTGCACTCTCTAAGGTTCTCTCCAGGCATGAGCAGGCCCACTGCCCTACAACGTTGGTCTGGGCGCCCCCCACCCCAGGCCTGGCCACGGCCAGCCCCTGACAGGTGCTGGTTTCCAATGCCAACTCACCAGAAGGTAAAGAGCGCCACGACACTCACGGTCACCAGCAGCTGGATCAGCAGGATAGTATAGACCTGGGGGGGGGGGGTTCTTGTTTGAGGCCAGGGAACCTCAGGGAGGCCCGGGATTCCCTGTGACTCAATCTCCTCTCCAGACTACATCCTGTGCCCTCCGTCCTCCTTCTTGAGGGTCATAGGAACAGATCCAGGACCCAGTAAAAGGAGTAAAGATGGTCCAGAACCCACACCCATAGCGAAAGGGCCTCTCAGTATCTGGAGAGAAGAGACCACATGTTTAGGGCTGGCAGGGCCAGTGGGGGGATCTAAGGAAGCACTTCCCAATAGGTGCGGTCAGCTGGCATCACGAGAGAGGGACAGACTGTGGCCTCTGCCGCACAGAGCTCCCCACACCCAGCCCCCCAGTCCTGGGGAGTTGGGGAGAGGCAGTTACCTTTCTGATGAAGACTCGGCGAACTTGCTGGTCATCCCAACTGAAGGTGGTGAAGAGCTCATGGTCTCCGGTGGGAAAACCGCTCTCATAGCTCGAGCTGCTGCCTGGGGGGCAAGGGAGGGCCATGAGGGCTCCGATACATATAAACTGGCTCTCTGGACCAGCCGAAACCTTTCTCTCCAGCCCCATTCTCAGACCTTGCACTCCATCTTCAGATCTCTCTCCCTAGCTGCTTCTCATCCTTCTTGTTCTGAGTCCTGAGAACGAACTGCCATCTCCCTGCCCCTTCCTTCCTGTGACTCCCCACCGCCTCCCTGGACACTCGGGCTTCCTTGTGGCAAAGAATCAGAGAGGGACAGACATAATCTCAGGACTATCCAGCACATCTCAGGGTCAAGGGTCCTGATCCCAGCTTGCTCTGAGGCCCTTGGGGTGGACACTGGGACCAGTTGGATGGGTGAACCTGCTGGCGATCCAGCTGGGAACCAGGGCTGGGGGATTCCTGGAGGGGAAGTAAAGCCAGGACAGGGCAAGAAGTGGGGTGTGGGTGGGAATGAAGTTTTGCAGGCTGGTCCCAGAGCTCAGACTTTCAGAAGAGCATGGGCTCCATTGTCAGACAGACACACATGTGGCTCCTCTTCTAAGACTGACTGTGTGACCCTGAGCAAATGACCAGCCTTCCCAAGTCCCTTCTATGAAGTGGGTCAGTGAAGCCACCTCATGGGGATGAAACGAGATAAAAGTGATCGCCTGTGGCTCTGGCATCACGAGAGGAAAGGGTATCTGCCCGGAGTCCTGACGAACGGCATGAGCTATCCTAGTAGAGGCAGGGAAATGAGTCCCCTGAGGGGGACGACGCCACCCTCTCCCCTGCACCCCTCGTCTGGGCCCTTCCTGGGACCTCACATGCCCACTGCGTTCCCCTCCACTGTCTCCATCAGTCCTCCACGTTGTTCCCTTCACAGTAATAGCCTCCGTCTTGGCCTTTCAAAGTTGACCACAGCACTGCCTTGCTTCAAGCTCTTTGACAGCTCCCACTGCTTTTCACTCAAGTTCAAGTTCCTTAACAAAGCCCCACAGCCTCCCAGGAGCCCCCAGCGCCCTCCCTGCACATTATTTCCTCCTCCATTTCTTCAGCCATGTGTTCTCTTGCTCCTGGGCCTCTGCACATCCCACTCCTCAGCCTGGAACACTCACTTCCCTGCCTCTTTACCAGGATAATGCACGCTGTTCTTCAGGACTCGGCGCGGATGCCCTTTCCTCCGGGAAGTCTTCCCTGACAGCAGGCAGGTTAGGTGAGTGCCCGGGCCTCTATCTGCGCCTGTTTCACTGTATGGTAGTTGTCTATTTCCTTGGCTGAGCTCTGTGAGGGCAGGTCTTGCAAATGGACACATCCCCAGAAATGAGCTCAGTGCCAGACACAGTGCCTGGCACACACTTAGTAAATGTTTGTCACATGTTGACTGCAATGACCTGCCTTCCTGGCCTGACAACTGCTTGGAAAACATTCCTTAAAGCAGCCAATCCTGGCCGCCAGGAAATGGGCAAAGAGGAAGGGGAGAGAGGTGGGCCTATTGCAAGCCTGGGGCCTGGAGACCCTCACTCTCTCATCCTTCACTTCTTCTTCATGTTCTTTCTGTCTGTATCCCCCACCAAGGCCCGACTAGCCAGGCCATGGAGGGGGAGAAAAGAAGAGAGAAAGCAGTCCTGTGGGTATCTGAGGCTTGGGAAGGGCTCCCCAAATACCAGACCTTTATTGGCCTTCCCGTTGGACACAAGCACATAGTTCTGCTTGGGTCTAGGACGAGGGGTTTTGTGGCGAGTGGTGTGGACCATGGTGACCACTCCTTGTGGGCAGACGCTGTCTGAGGCATTGTCCCTGGGACCCCTTCTAGAATTCTGCTGGGGGTGGGGGTGGGGAGCGGACAGGGTGGGGGAGGGGGTTGAGGGGCTACTGAGGAGGCTGAAGGGGCTGAGGAAGATTTGAGAAGGGGCCTTTCCTTACAGCTCGTGGCAGCTATATGCTCCCAGCCCTGAGGCAAAGCTCCCACAGGCTGCTCAACTTAACAAAGGGGCTCCCACCAGCTACAATTCTGGGCACCAGCCTGGGTGAGTCTGGTTGTGAGGGGCACTGAGGCTGTCACCCACACACCCGCCCACATCATGCCCCCAACAAGGGCCTGGGGAAAGGGAGAGAGACAGGAGAGTAATGGGTGCCGTGGATCCTCAGGTCTCTGGCCCCCAACATTCCTAGGGCCTCCTTGGTGATGTGTCCCCACTAAGGCTTCATATCCGCTAACAAGTCAACATGCTGCACCCCACTCACAGGGAGCCACCCCAGCTAAGGCTGTGGCAGCCCCAGCATCACTCGGCTCCTTCCTGCCCTTACTCTGTCCTCTCCTCATTGCCTTCCTGTGACCCTTTCTTCTAGGAGAGCCTCTCTGACCAGCCCCTGGCTTTCCTCCCCGCATCTGTCCCCTCGGCCCTAGCAGGGCGCGTGGGAAAAAATCCCCACATCCCCATCCAACAGCACTCTGACTGCAGCCATTGTACGTCTCCCTTCCCATGGCGTCCTCCTGGACCGTCCTCAGAACAGTCCTCCAAACCCCAAACCGTTGCCCACAGAGCCTCCTACAACAACCATCCGGTGCACCGATTTCTGGGCAACTTCCTCCCACCCCAGTTTTCCATGTGAGCCCACCTCGCCCCCCGATGCTCCAGCCTTCAGGAGCTGAGGGACTTACTAGGGTCCACATAGGCCCAGCTGGGGTGGAGAGGCACCGCCGCAGGGGCTGCAGGGAAGGCCCCTGCCTTCAGCCCCTCCGCAGAGGTGGCCTCCTCGTAGGAGGGCGGGGCCGACGGCACTGCCGGAGCCTCCTTCTTCTCACCGTTCGCCTGCTGCTGGCCCTCGGTCCCGGGGGCCTTGTTAGCCACGGAGAGCTGTGGAGTGGAGGCAGAGAGAGATGGTTACCAGGGAAAGGGTGCCTTCCAAGCCCTCCTCACCAAGCCTTCCCTTCCATTTTGGGGGTTGTACGGGTACTTGGTCCCCTGCACTAGGAAGGGCGGGGTGAAGACAAGACGCTGCCTGTTTTTGTTGCATATGTATGTAGTGAAATATTACTCAGCCTTAAAAAAGAAGGACATCCTCCCATATGTGACCACATGGATGAACCTGGAGGACACTGTGCTCAGTGAAATAAGCCACTCACAGAAAGACAAAGACTGCATGCTCCCAGTGATATGTGGATGCTAAAATGTCGAACTCACGGACGCACAGAGTAGAACAGTGGTTGCCCGTGGCTGGGAGGGAGATGGGGGAAATGAGGAGATGCTGGTCAAGGGGTACAAAGTGTCACTTATGCAGGATGAAGAAGTTTGGGAATCTAATGCACAGCGTGGTGACTATAGTTAACAATACTGTATGTTGGGCTTAAAAATCTGCTGAGGGGGTCGACCTAAGTTCTTTCCACAAAAATAGAAGGAACGATGTGGAGTGATGGACATGTTGAACAGCTTGATTTTGGTGATCATTTCACAATGTATATCTAAACATCAAGTTGTACACCTTAAATATATACAATTTCTATTTGCCTCTTATACCCCAATAAAGCTGGGGGGGGTGTCTCCCTATTTTATAGATGGGAGAACTGAGCTCCAGGAAGGTCAGGGCTGGCCAGGCACACACTGGAGCTGGGATAAGAACCGAGAAAGGAGAAAATTCTTAGGAGAGACCCTCCCCGTTGGTGGTCACGGTTCCCATGGCAGGATTGGGTTTGTATGGGACCACTGTTTCTCTGGGGTCTAAAGAGGGTTCTGGGACATAGTAAACCCTTAAAAGTATTATTGAACGAACGGTTCTCTTGCTGAATCTCCCTGCTACCTTGCTAGTCGTATGTCGACCTCTGTTTTAAAACGAGGGAACGGAGGGTCAGAGAGAAGAACAACTCGCCCAAGGTCACAGTGCCACACGTGGCCACTGGGCTGCAGAGCCCAGGCACCATCCACTGGGACTGGCCGCTGCTTCTGGGCTGCAGACAACCAAGGACGGTGAGGGTGGGAAAGCCGGGGAACAGAGCAGGGAGGAGAGGGAGAAAAGAGGAAGAGGAAGAGGAAAGGGGATTGCAGGGCAGAAGGAGGGCAAGAGGCCCTGGCTGAGGGCCCTGTTCTGGCCTCGTCCTATTGGAATCTCAGCCTCGTCAGAGCAGAATCACAGATTCACTGCTGACAGAGACCTCAGAAGGCATCGAATTCAACCCCTTTTTCATTTTACAGATGAGGACACTGAGGCCCGGGAAAACGTGCCCATGGCAGGTTGAAAGCTCAAGTCCATTTAACTCCGATGTGCCCCCTGCCCCACAATGTACACCTTTAGCTTTGGAGAGAGGACATGAGCTGTGAGGGCCTGAATGATGTCGCCAGAGAAGGGCAGGTTGGGTGGAGGGGAGGTATGAAAACTGGAACAGCCAAAAAGGACTGAACTTTAGATCCGCCTCCAGAAAGAGTGTGTTAAACCTCAAGGTCTACGGAGGAAGGCCGAGGAGTCCCTTCTTTGCAGGGTGCGTCCAGCTGAGGCAGCCAGTCAGAGGCAAGCACCAGATCTCTGTCCTCACCCAGCCCTGAGGACCACTGAACTGGAAGGGTCTAGTCCAGTGGTCGGCAAACTGCGGCTCGCGAGCCACATGCGGCTCTTTGGCCCCTTGAGTGTGGCTCTTCCTAAGCCTTAGGAGTACCCTAATTAAGTTAATAACAATGTATCTACCTATATAGTTTAAGTTTAAAAAATTTGGCTCTCAAAAGAAATTTCAATCGTTGTACTGTTGATATTTGGCTCTGTTGACTAATGAGTTTGCCGACCACTGGTCTAGTCCATCACTAGAAAGCCTGTGAGTAAGCTGGGGGCGAGCAGCAGGGGAGGCGGGGAATACAGTTAGCCCAGAACAGGAAGCAGGGTCAGCAAAGTGCCTGGTGGAGGTGAGGGTAGGGAGTGGAGGGGAGGGTCCGGAGAGGGGGGAGTTTCCATTTTCCCCACAGTGAATACCCCCCAGGCCTCCTTGGGGAAGGGCCTCCAAGCCCAGGCCTGTGGGAATGGGGTCCTGGCTCCCCTGCTCCCCTCCCACTCCCCAGCCTCCATGACCAGCCAGACCAGGAGAGTCATGCCCAGGAAAATCCCTTTCAGCCCCAGAAGGAGGTCCTCTGAGCCCAGACCCAGCGCTCATGCCTGGGAAAAGGACGATCACCTCCGACTTCAGCTCTGTCCAAGCTGGTCCCTTCACCAGCCCCCACCCTGGCACTCAATCACCCGGAGCCTCCTGGGCCTTCACACACACACACAACACACACACACACACACACACACACACACACACACGTCCGGCATTCCCAATGGCAGGAGGTGGTATCACCCAATGACATCATTTTGAGGCCGTATGAGCTTAAAAACAGGGAGAGGAGGGTCTGAGAATCCAGGGAAGGCTGCCATTGGCTCTGAGGCTCATCTCAGAAAGAAGAAGGGGAGTGTAAGGGAGGTCCCTATCTGTTTTCTCAGCTCAATCCTTAGTACCCCAAGCAGAAGGCCCCAGGACCCTCCCCCTTTGCCCCAGGCCCTGGTGGTTGTATAATTCCACAGGCTGCTGATGTTACATAACCCTACTGGGCCAGCCAAGCCTCTGCCCAAACCCTTCCCCTACATTTTAAGACTAGAACTGGAAAAAAAAGAAAAGACGTTTCATCTGGTCTCATCTAGTCCCATGCCCTGCCGAAACCAAAACAAGAATTAGAGCATCCTGATGCAGGGTTGCCATAGTAACCCTCTAACCACAGTTGATGTGTCCAGATGTAGAATAATGACAGGGGTTTGGGTGGGGGGTGTTTTTGTGGATGGTGCGAAAGATGAGCTAATGTCAGGGTTGGGATTGGACCAGAAGGGGATGCTGGATAGGAACTGCCCCTCACAGCTCACCCTGGTGAGCACACAGGCACTCCACACACACACACACACACACATACATACTCACCACGCACGCACACGGACATCAGGCTGACTCCTTAAGGGGGGCTGGGCGTCTGTGCAGGGTTCTGGGACGTCAAAGCAAGGGGTGGAAGGGGGTCAGGGGAGGAGAGGTGAGCCTGGTGGGCAGGAAGAGGCCCCGACCCATTCCTTGAAATGGGTCTTTGGTCCTCTGACTTCAGCAAGGACCACAGAGGGCCTTTCCACAAGGGCCGGGGGAGGATGCTAGAGTGGTCCAGAGAGCTCGCTCAGGATGACAGGGAGCCGGGAGCCCGAGGATGGAGGATGGTGCAGGCGGGGGAGATGCCGGTACCTTTCCCTGGGTCATGGTGCCGTCTCTCGGGGAAGGGGTCCCCGAAGCCTGCCTGCGTCTCTTCCTTCCTCCGCGTGGGTTCTAGCAACCTCCACTGCAGCCGTGCCAGGCGGACCGGAACGTACCACCGGGGCGCGGGGGGAGGAGGGGACGGGGGCGGGCCGGAAGGCTGCGGAGGAGGCCTCTGCGGATTCGCGAGCCTAGGGGAGGAGGCGTGCACCGCCCCCTCCTCCGGCCCCTCTCCCCTTGTCCCTCACCCCCGGGAGCAGGGCGAGCGGGCTGCGGAGCAGCTCAATTGGATGGGTCTGTGCGGGCGGGAGGAGGCGCGGGGACTCCGTGACGCCGGGCAGGTGATGCCGCCTGCGGGTAACTGGAGCCGGGCGTCAGGGCCTCATTTCTCCACCGTCTCTGCCACTGATAGGCTCTCCCCTTGCCTCTGCCCCCTTCCCCCTCCCTCTTTGGATGAAGCCCTGATTTCTGTCTCCATCTCCATTTCCCCTCTCATCATCTCTGTTTCATCATCCACGGCAGATTGGGAAAAGTCTCCCTCGGCGTCTAACAGGGCCCTAACTTCCTATGGGCTTTTGGGCAAGCCAGGTGTGCACCTCTCCTGGCCTCCGTTTCCTCGCCTGTGAAATGGGAGCAAGGGGCCCCTTACTGCCTTGTCACAGGAACATGCTGTGGGAAGATGCAGCCTCAGGTTCTTACACCCCTGCTGGGACACTCTACCAGTCTTCCTGGGAACACCTCTAATTCTGTCTCAAAGCTTCTCCAACCCTCCGTGCTGCTCCTTTTCTGCTTCCACTCTCAGCGTCCTTCACTCCATCTCCATCCCTCCTGCCCCCCCCCCCATTCCTGAGCCAGCCCCATCCCCTTTCCCAGGCTTGTCCTTGGGGCTTGGCCATCACCAGGCCCTGCTGTCCGCAGCTGCCGCAGTGTTACTGTGGGGCTTGCAATCTCAGGAGCTGGGCTCAAGTCCCAATGTAGACACCCACTGGCGGAGGGACTTTGGCGAGGCCTTAACCTCTGGGCTTCACCATCTCCGATGGAAAGGAGGATGGAGGACGACAGTGGAGCTCTGTCATCCGAGATTGACTGTAAGACGCACCGTTTATGGGGGGGACACAGGTTTATGCCTCCTACCAGAGCATCCTGGGCTGCCCCAGGGTGAGGACTCAGAGAGCTGTCTAATTGGATCTGAACCTCACCGGATGGGCTGAGAAGCCAAGGCCTGGTGCAAGTGGGGGTGGCCTCTTACCTTCTGCTTCCCTGTCAACAACCAGCGAGACCCCCTCATGCCCCGTGAGAAGCAGGGCCCTGGGTAGGCAGGTACATTACTGAAGGCTTCATTCCACCCCGACTGGCCCTTTGTCCCCCACTCCATAACCACACACTGGTGCCTGAGCCTCCAATCTGGAGGCTTTCTAAGTCCCTATACACCTGTCCCCCGCCTGCCCCCTCTCTCCTTCTCCCTGCCCTGCTCCTAGAGCTCTTCTTCCCACACACTGGGGCCTGAGCCTCCAATCTGGAGGCTGTCTAAGCCCCTATACACCTGTCCCCTGCCTGCCCCCTCTCCCCTTCTCCCTGCCCTGCTCCTAGAGCTCTTCTTCCCACACACTGGCCCTGCACCTCCACCTCCACACCCTGCACTGCTCCCGGAGCTCTGCCTGGCCATTCCAGGTTCCGGCCCGCCCCTCCCTCTCCGCACCTGTTTTGGGGTGTTTTCCTTCTCCTGTTTGTCACATCAAGGCTACCTCCTCCGGGAAGCCTCCTTGGCCCCTAGTCTGGGTTAGATGCCTTTTTCTTTCTCTCTATAGTTTCACCCTGACAGAACACCTGCCACATAGCTCTGTGGGGTTTCTTTATCTGTCTCCGCATTAGACTCTGAGGAGCCTGTCTCTAGCAGGTTTTGTGTCAGCAGTACTGAGTATACGGCATGTGGAACACACTCAGGACAGCCTAGCTCTCACTGTTACCCAGACAGGTGGTCTTGCACAGAGCCTGCCTTTGTGTAGGCCTCGGCATTTTCCTAGGTTTGTCTATCTCACCTGCTGCTTCTCTCCCCATTCATTCTGCTCCTGCCACACAGCCCCCTTGACTGCTCCTTGCCTGGGCCAGGCACGCTCTTAGTTCAGGGCCTTGGCACTTGCTGTGTCCTCTGCCTGGCAGGCCTCTGCTCAGACATCGCCTTATTGGGAAGGGCTTCCTGATCCTGTACAAGTAGCAATGACCCCAGCATGCCCCCACCAGCTCACTGGACAGTCCCCTTTTCCTAACCCGGCTTAATTTTTTTCCATGGCAGTTGTCACCTCTGACATATATATTTTGTTTAGTGCCCCCCCCCCCCCATCTCTCACTAGCGTATCAGCTACCTGAGAGGAATTTTGGGGGAAGTTGTCATTGCTCTGTACCCATCAGTCAAAATAGTAGTAGATGCTTGATACATGTTTGAATGACTGAAGTGCAACATTATACAAAATCCTTATATTCCTCAGACATTTTGACACCGTCGGCGCTATGATGTGTCTCAACACTGGACTCTATGACCATGGCATCACTGATATGTCCCCATTGCGTGGTCTTTGGACATGACCCAAATATTGGAATGTTTGTCTAACACTCCTCTGGCCGCTGGAGGCAGCAAGATAGGAGGGTCCAAGGCGAGCTTCAGTCAGGCAGGCTTGGTTGCGGTCCCAGCCTCTCTACTTCAAAGCTCTACGACTCTGAACAAGTTAGTTCCCTCTCAGAGCCTCAGCTTTCTCATCTGTAAAATGGGGGCTAGTGATAGTACTGACTGAGATTGTAGAGTGGACTAAGTGAGGATGTATGTAGAGTTTCACATGGCGCCCAGTATTAGGATTGGCCCTAAGAGTTCCCCAAATGTTGTTTAGTGAAATAATTCATTTCCACCCTCATCAGCAGCTCAGTTTCACTGTTACTCATTCATGTGCATTTAATAGTCTAAAAATAAGACATGTGCTGTGCCTGCCGCTGTGTGACACACTGTGGTAGACGCTTTGGTGGTTCACAGAGGAATCAGATGTTGCAGCCTCTCTCTGAGGAGGGAAGGAAGGTCCCTTCAGAGCTCACCCGGTGCTGTGCTGGCGTGGGAGCAGGTGACGCAGGACGGGCAACCGTGAGGGGTGGCCCAGGGGAACTTGTTGGGGTCACAACCTTGAATTCCTAGCCTAGGGATGGGCTCTATTCTGTTTGCACGAGGTGGGGCAGTCGGGGAATTTCTAGGTGTTTTGAGCAGGAATAATGTGTTCAAAGACGTGCTTCAGAAAGACCAAACTGTTGTAGTGATTTTTGCCAATAAAGTGTTTCCTTAAACACGAAGGGAATAAGGACCAGCCTGTGAGCAACGTATGGAAGGGATTGAGTGAGGGCACGATTAAGGTGCAGGGACGAGCATGGAGACTCCGTGATGGTACAAGAGACAGAGGCTCGCGGCCTAGACTCTGAGCAGGCTGCCTGGGCTGTCATCCCGGCCCTCCAGATGCTTCACTTCTCTGTGCCACAGTTTCCTCCCCTGTAACACGAAGGTGGTGAGTAAAGCACTTAGAACAGGGCCAGACACACCGAGTGTTCTATGTGCGTTTGACAGTCTAAAAATAAGACAGATGATCCAGGGGCAGGAAAGATGGAGAGAGGCAGACAGCTTGGGGCAGGACTGACGGGACTTAGGAAGAGGCTGGACAGGGGACAAAGGGAGAAGAGGAGTCAGCAGGGACGGAGGTTTGGAGGCTGAGTCCCTGGGAGAATGGCGCCATTAATAAAAGGGAGGAAGGAGCTGACATGTTCACGGCTCAGGTTGAATTTGTGGTGCCTTTGGGACCACCAGGTGGAGAGGTCCTGTGGGCCATCAGGTAGAGGCTCCTGAAGCCTGGGGCCTTCCACCGCTCCGGGCACCGTGCACTTTGTTTTAGGGGAATTTCCCTTCCCTTCCCACCCAGCAGCCCAACCCTGGGCTTCATGGAGTTGAGTAGGGTGGCTACCGGGAACTGGACTGGATTGGGGGGGTTGGGGCTCCTTGGAGAGTGAGGCCAAGGAGAGAAGAGTGGGGAGAGTAGACCAAAGGCAGCACCTGGGGTTGGAGGAGACGGAAGTTCTTTCCTCCTCCAGGATTTGCCTTCAACACCTCCACCAGGCTGTGGTGAGAGTGGAGGGATTCAAAGACCTAAGTCAATGTTCTCAGGGCTGCTGGCGGGCGGGGAGGTTGTGGCCCCAGCCATTTCCGCTCTCTTCCTTTCAGGCCTATCCTGTGGCGGCCCATCCCGCTCCACCGTTCTGCTCTGGTTGCCAGCCAGCTCTGTTTGGGGCAAGTGCCAGGGAGAGGAGGGAGCTGAAGGTTCGGACAGAGGCAACGCTTCTCATTTTATAGCCATAGAAGCCAAAAGCCAAAGATGGTGGCTTTTCCAAAGTTACACGACATTTTGGGGGCCAAGCCAAGGTGAGAAGAGTCTGTCAGCCCAAGAATGTGTCAGTGACACTGAGACTGAGCGTGAGGGATGAGTTGGGAGGTTTTCAGGGGTCCTAAGTGGGCGGAAGCAGAGCTATCCAGGCACCTCTCCCCAGACCCTACCCCAACCACGGACTTGTACACCCAGCCTGCACCAGCCTCTATTCCATCCCCTGCCCCCGCGTCTCCCCCGGGTAAAGAGAGAACCTGCCCATTTGAGGCCAGTGATGGGGTGGGGCAGAGGCAGGCACTAGAGCCCAGGTTGCTCACAGCAGGCAAGTTTCTGCCAGAGGTAGTGGCCTAGCTGAGCTCAGGCATCCCAGTGCACCCTGCTGAGTGTAGCCTGTGCCTCGGCGTGGCTGCCTCCACAAATTTCAAAGCCTGTCATTGCCGTGCAGGTCCCTGGCCCCCTATGACACCCTCCTTTCCTACCTCCCCCTCCTCCTAGCGGCCCTACAGCAAAGAACCAGACATCCTGTGCTGGCCAGCCAAAGCCTGGTTACACAACCCGTCTACTCAAGGTGTCCATTCCCCCCCCCCTCCCCCCGGCAAT